ATGCATTAAGCACAAGTGTGGTCAGATCAGCTGGTTCAGCACAAAGCCAAGAGCTGCTCTAGAGGCAAAGTGCTCCTCTAAGACCTCTGCGTTTGGGTGCTTGCACAAACATGTGCATGCCTGTTTGTGCAAGAAACAACCAAAATTTCACACTCTATGTTATGCTCATTGTTTTCCGAATCTTCTTGGTTGCAAAGTGGTTGGCTTTGACTGTGAATACACAGAGGTGCTTCCTGTGTTACTTTTACACATCCTCATTGTGAAGTGTTGAGTTGATTATTGTCTTCTCAGCAGGCTACAGTAATGGATACGGCAGTGAGGTTTATGGCACAGCAGATGGTTATGGGGCAGGTGAGTCTGGACTGGATAGGTACGATGGAGCGATATCACACTAACATATAAGCATAATTATAATTATGTTACAGGACCTGCCTACCCATCAGTGTTAGCTGATAATGTTGGCCTGAACGGTATAGCTGGTAAGGCTGAAGGTTTTGAGTGTAACCAACAACACTACATTCACACTAACAAGAGATTCTAAACCCCTGCAATAGTGTCAGCACTTCCTCCACTGTTTAATTCACTCTGTCCTGTGATTATACACAATAATATTTTACTCAAGATTGTAGAAGATAACCTCATCCAGCCTAATCTGGGCAACTGAAGTATCTGAACTGCAATAGCTTGAACACTGAGAAATCAGCTGTTGCCTGTGCAGTTGCTTTTATACTAGTACTAAGGGAAAGCAAGACTGTAAATTCCTCCTAGAATACCACTAATAGAAATGGTAAACCGAGTGTTTTGCATACATTAACTAGAAGCAGCATTACCTGCATGAAATCATAGAGGTCAATGTTTGCTCTTTCAGGTCTTGGAGCTGGAGGCCTTGGAGGTCCAGGGCTGGTAGTGAACCCTGGCCTGGGTATTGATGCCAAGTCTAGAAAGTATGGTAAGAAAAAGACATCTGAAGATGACAATTAAATGAAAAGAAATTCAATTGAACACACTAAATACACTTACCGTTCAGAAGTTTGGTGTCAGTAAGATTTTTTTACTTTTTTGAAAGCCACTTATGCTCATAAAGGCTGCATTTATTTGATCAAGAATACAGAAAAAATGACATCGTTGTGAAAAATTATTACAATTAAATCACTGAAATCATTCTAATATGCTGATTTGGTGCTCAAGAATCATTTCTTTATTATCAATTATTATCAATGTTGAAAACGGTTGTGCTGCTTAATAATCTTGTTGAAATCTTGATAATTTTGATAAATAGAAAGTTCAAACAAACCACATTTATTTCAAATAGAAATGCTTCATATCAATGTAAATGCCTTTACTGTCACTTTTGATCAATTTAATGTTAATTTCTTTAAACTGACAGATTACAGCATTTTCCTACTTCACCTGCCAAATATTTTCCAGCTCATTTGATTGTTGTTGAGTCCTGCTAATATCTCTTCTTCTTTGTCTAGTTATGTCTTATTGTCTGTGGTTGCTTGATCCTGTATTACCTCTGGTTTAATTTGTCTAAAGGGGCAGGTGGAGTTCTTGGAGCTGCCGGATCCTTGCCTTACGGTGGCCAGCCTGTGGTCTCAGCTGGACTTGGTCCTCACGGCAAGACTGGTAGTTATGGTGGAGCTACATACGGAGGAATACCAAACCTTGGGCCAGACACTGCTCTGGGTACGTGCATTGCACTTATTTGTTATTCAAATGCAACATGCAAATCTCAGTTTTCCGGCTATCCTGATGCTTTGCCTGAGGATTTGACTTTAACGTGAATGTCCCTTGTGAGAAAAAGAAAGAAGATTTAAATAAGAGAATAAAGCATAATAATAAACCAAACATGATTATAAAGATCAGATAACTATTATAAGAAAGAAAGTAAAGATGATATGTATCCTATCAGGTGGTACAGGTGGAGCAATAGAGCCTTTAGCAGGTAATATTGTGGAGTTTTAGTAAATATATTTCAAGTCATTTTTTTCTGATAACAAAATGTTACTGCCACAGGCGGAGCTATAGGCCAGATTCCTTACAGTGCACCAGTCATTGCAGCTGGGCTTGATGGTAAGTTGGCAAGAACAAGAGAAATAGAGAACATCATGGACTCTGATTGTGACACAGGTGCAAATGTGTTTACCTGCAGTTGATGCTGGTTATCCTTTTGGTGCTGAGCAACTCAGTCGGGGTGCTGATGCTACAAAGACAGCCGCCAAATATGGTGAGAATATGAGCAGTTTTGTTTAATTCGTGTACATCTAATATATATCTATTAAATACACTACCATAAAAAGTTTGTGGTCAATAAGATACGTTTTTTTTTTAAGATAGTAATACTTTAATTCAGCAAGAATACATTAAATTGATCAAAAAGGACAGTAAAGACATTTATAATGTCATAAAAGATTTCTATTCTATTTTTCTTTCATATAAATGCCGGTCCTTTAAACGTCCTATTCATCAAAGAGTCCTGAAAAAAATGTACCACAGTTTCCACACAAAAAATATTAAGAAGCAAAACTTTTAAACATTGATAATAGTAATAAATGTTTCTTGAACATCAAATCAGCATATTCGAATTATTTCTGAAGGATCATTTGACACTGAAGACTGGAGTTATGATGCTGAAAATTCAGCTTTGCCATCACAGGAATAAATTACGTTTTAAAATAGAAAACAGTTGTTTTAAATTGTAATATTATTTCACAATATGTTTTTTACTGTATTTTTCAATCAAGTAAATGCAGTCTGGTTGAGCATAAGAGACTTCTTTCAAAAACATGACCCCAAACATTTGAACAGTAGTGTATGCATTAAATATCTAATATCGACTGATTAAATAACTAAATCATATTTAATATTGACTGATAAATGGTACTGATATATCATGCATGCCAAATGACCACCGGTCTGTGTTGTCATATTCATCATTTATTCACTAACATGTTAATATCTAGCAGACATCGACTAAATACATAAATGCTGTTGACTAATAGCCAGTGTGGTGACTGATCATTTCTAGGCACAGGCTATGCAGCTGCACTAAGTACTGGTGGTCAGGGGCCCTATGGTGGTGAGTAAATCAGTCACATGAGTTAGACAAACTAGCAAGATTCTAACCTAATGACTTCTCTCTTTTAAGGTCTAATGTGTGGTTAGTTTCACTATGTTCATTTTTGTTTTTTCACAGGACAGAATGATGGAAGCAAGCTTAGTGGCATTTATGGGAATGGGTACAAAGGTAGATGATATATTAGAAGATCTGTATTCTTAACTCGGCATATTGTGTCTTCTACCTTTCTCATCCATCTCTTTTCATCTTCTCTTTCTGTCTAGGTTGATTTCCAAGACCATGCTGTTAACTTTGTCAGTGTTTTTTTGGCCCCTTTTTGCCTAGTATTCCTCACAATTGTGCAGTTTTGTGACATGTTTTTGTTTGCCATATTGTTTTAGTTTTAGGTTTGTGCCCATTTGTGTGGGCATGTGTGTTTTGTGTGTACGTGTGGTTTTAATATTCATTGTTATGTTCCTTGATGTTTCCCCAGTCTGTTCATTTGTCTTGTCCGGTGGAGTGTTTAATGTCCCTTGTGTGTTTCTCTGTATCTAACTAAAACATGCTAAACACTTCATAGTTATTTTAATTCTTATGAAACACTAAATATTCCACCTCCTAATCTGACTCCTTAGTGTTTCTTTGACAACTATATATCTATCCTGCTTAAGGACCCAGTTATGGTAATTATGGGGTTTGATCCTACGCTATTAGCATCAGAACAAGCTAACAGATGGTTTTGATCTCTATTGTGAGGTCATGTCTTATCAAATTAAACATTGCATAATGTCTTAAAGCGAACACTAACAAAATGACAGAGTATAATATAACAGTCATAATCTTGTGAGCCGTCATATTGGGTGTACATACAGCTCTGAATTCTCATCCGTCTACAGGAAAACCACACAACAAGCATCCGGTGTTAGACTGGTGAAACACCATTTAAGAGGAAACGAATCAGAGCCATTGTTAAAGGGATAGTTAACCCAAAAATTAGATTCTGTCATCATTTACTCACTCTCGTGTAATTCCAAACCTGAAAATGACTTTCTTTCTCAAAATGTCTGTGTTTTTTTTGTTTTGTTTTTAGGACTAAACAATAAAAGTCAGTGGTGTCCAATGTTGTTTTGGACCCCATTTACTTACATTTTATAGACAAAAACAGTTAAAACATTATTAAAAATATCTTATTTTGTGTTCCGCAGAAAAAAGTCATAGTCATACAGGTTTGTAACAACATGAATGTGAGTAAATGGTGACTGGATTATCATTGTCATTTTATAACTATGAAGATGGGTCAGAAAAAGAAATATATAAGTGAGTGACGTGACGTGGCCAAGTATGGTGACCCATACTCGGAATTAGTGCTCTGCATTTATCCCATCCAAAGTGCACACACACAGCAGTGAACACACACACACCGTGAACACACACCCGGAGCAGTGGGCAGCCATTTATGCTGCGGTGCCCGGGGAGCAGTTGGGGGTTCGGTGCCTTGCTCAAGGGCACCTCAGTCGTGGTATTGAAGGTGGAAGAGAGCGCTGTACATTCACTCCCCCCACCTACAATCCCTGCCGGTACGAGACTCGAACCCGCAACCTTTGGGTTATGAGTCCGACTCTCTAACCATTAGGCCACGACTTCCCCAAGCAGACAATTTGTGGCCTTTTGAACTTTTAATAACACAAAGCATTAGGTTTTTAGTTATAGATAATTTTTACACACAATAAAATGAAGTATTGTCATAGTGACTCATAAAATTACTTGTGAAGATTATGAAATGATGCTACTTAAAATAAACAAAAATAATTTTTAATAAAACAATGTGTAGAATGAAAGAGCATAACACAGTAGTTACAATGTATGTGTTTTAGAAAAATTGCCAGTGTAAGCATAAAAATCCTGCAATAAAGACAGCATAATAAATATGTATTGCGCATTGTCTCCAAAGTTGATAAGTATTTAAGAATTATATTAAATATGTTTCTCTCATAGTGATAAATACAAGCGAGAATAAAGTTATATTTCGAATAGCCGCATAATCAGATCCAAAGCCAAAACTTGCTACAGAATAGTTTTAGCACTGTAATTTGTCTTTTGATATACATACAGTCTGTCCAGAAGTACTCCCTTGCTCATCAGTATTTCTGCTGGCACAGGTCGTGCATTTCGAGATACATATGCCTTCTCCAGTTGAAAGTTCATGGGAGAACCAACATAGGTTGAGCAATAGGGGCCAGACAAACTTGGGGCGCATGTCACTTCTGTTTTGTAGAACAGCAGACCGTGATTTAAAGTGCAGAAATTGTCATTCTGACCTGCTTTTATGGCTACTTCACAGGTTCCCAGCAAATCGTCGTCCCATTTACTATCTTCATCCCACACCTCCAGTTTTATCTTGTCATTCTCCGCCACAACAACATCACCCAGATCAAAGGTTCTCCCCCAGTAGGGTGAGTTGTTATTCGTGATCATATCAGTTCGTCCAATCTGAATGTTATGTTTGTCGAACACTTTAACGTACCCATCGGTCGCTGTGGTCTGGTCACCCCACAGGTCTTGAGCCCTCACGATTGTGACCTTTACCCGAGAAAGTCCACGCTTAGATGGGCAGCAATCGGGTGTGATCCCAGGATTGTTGCGACAAGTGCAGACACATGGGTTATTTGGGTTGGTTTTGACGCCATCTTTGCAAGAGTCGGTGCAGTTCCTCCAAAGGGACTTTTCCAGGATATAGTCATGGATGGCTTGGCGCAAGTGTTTGCGTACTGGATCTTTGGTGGGGATCAGCTCATGCAGGGACTCCAGAGAGTAAGAAATCACGTCTGGGTTTTGTGGTAGGGACTCGAGCCATTCTTTGTAAGCTGATGGGTCTTTTCCTCCTGAGAAAAAGAGCTCAGGCTCTGTAGTGTGACCTCCGGTCACCTCAGTCAGCCTTTGAATGAAAACAAAAAAAGTTCATTTGGGACCTGTTGATTAGGGATACACTGATATTAAATTTTCTTTCTTTCTTTATTTTCTTTCTTTATTTCAGACCCTTAGGTCCATATCACAAAAATAAAAGTAAAGAAGTAACAAACATACATTTACAAAAACACTATTAAAAAAAAACATACAAACTTGAATTTCAGTGCTTCCAGAACAAGGAGGAATACCTTATGTCACTTAATGCATTTAAGGCCATTATGATTGTATTTCTTGAGTCACTTAATCAACACAAAAACTATACATATAATATCTTAACACAGCATGCAAAGTAGGAGCAACTTTAGATACGAACATTTGGCTTGCATTTATCAATCTTGGGAGCTTAAGCAGAATTCTTAATGCCTCATTAAATGCCACCTGGAGCTTATTTTTTTAGCTTTACTATAACTACACCATAAATGTGCCATATAAAAAGAAGTACAGTAAGCTCTAAAAAGTGCAATTTTAACATCATCTGTCCACATGTAAAATTTACGAGCCAACATATTTGCCTGTCCATATAACTTACAGCACTGGCGCTGCACATCATCATCATAATTTAAATCATCTCTAATAATGTGACCCACACTCTAAAAAATGCTGGGTTAAATATAACCCAGCGCTGGGTTAAAAAGGGACAAACCCAGCTATTGGGTTGTTTTGACCCAGCGGTTGGGTTGTTTTGACTCCAACACAACCCAACCGCATGGGTCAAAACAACCCAATAGCTGGGTTTGTCCCTTTTTAACCCAGCATTTTTTAGAGTGCAGGTTTTTAATTTTATTTACCACATTTAATACTTGGTCACCTAAAGAAAAGGGGACATTTTGCTTACGGTCCTCTGTAGTTTTAACAATCCTAATCACACTCTTTTTAGTATTAAATTTGATATCATATTGCACACCATAGTTTGAACATACGTGAAGCAACTGTTGTAACCCAGCATTATAAGGGGACAGAATAACTGAGTCATCAGCATACATCAGATGGTTAAAAAGACTATCACCTATTACACATCCAGTTTTACATTAATTTAACTCAATAGAAAGATCATCCATGTACAAATTAAAAAGAAGGGGTGACAATATTCCACCTTACCAAACCCCATTTGTCATATAAAAGGGTGTCGATACATTCCTACCCCATCTGACTTGTATGGATTGAGGTATATACCAGTAATGTAAAATCCTAATCAAATATGGGGAAACCCTTCTGTCTTGTAACTTTATAAACAACTTAGTGTGATTAATTCGATCAAATGCCTAGAGGCATCTAAAAAGCACATAAATACTGTAGAATTGTGCCCATTATACTTGCTAACAGTTTCCTTTTAAAACCAAACTGATTATACGTAGTTACCAAATATTCTTTGAGCATACGTTCAAATATATTTGAAATTATACTTGCTAAAGCAATTGGCCTATAATTTTCTACGCTAGATATTTTACCAGTTTTATCTTTAAGAACTGGTACTAATAAAATTGTTAACATAGATTCAGGTAACACAGCATGAAATATATCCACGTAATATTTTCTCCACTATTTAATAATCTTCTTAGCACCAGCAACCCCTTCAATACTAGCTGGCAACGGCACTTTACTATTATTAATAACCTTAACTTCTTTCCAAAATTCATACACATTATTTTGCTGAAATTTCTTGGCCATTGAGTTTGCTCTCATGGTTGCCTCATTTCTTCTCATAAATCGTACAGCATATTTAAATTTAGCATTGGTTTCTTTTTCTCATATTCTGGGCCGCCGATTAAAATTCTTTTTGAAGTGAACATGAAATTATTTTCATAAAGTGAATTTCTTAGTCAGTATTTTTGTCTTGTTTTCCAGTACAAATATCTACACATTGTTACATGAAGATACATTTATTTTTAGAAAAAAAAAAAAAGTCTGCCAATGGGGTAAGAAATTTTTAAAATAATTTTTTTGATATTTATACTGGAAAACAAGGCAAAACTACTGAATAAGAAAATCACTTTTTGCAATGTGGCTGATAACCGATAAATGACTGATATTAAGATTCTATACTGTTTTATCTAAATAAAATACAAAATATTACAAATAAATAAATTAAAAGATACAAATTAAAATCAGTTGTTTTAAATGCTACAAGTGAATTTAGGCACCACAACATTATAATTTGCAGTATGAAAAATGGATAAAAAATATAGATTACATCTAACAGTGTTATTTATTAATGTTTTTAAAGATTTACTTTAAGTGAGCATTAGATGATGGCAGAGCTAATCTAAACATAAAAACAGGGGAAGTGCAAGGACAATATCTGTATGACAAGCTATGAATTACAATACACATCATAATTTAAACCCACCTGTCATTAAAGCGGCTGGAGAAGCTGCTTTTGCTCTCTGTTTTGTCCTTGTCTTCATTACAGTGCTTAGTTTCTGCTTTCATATCTACTTTGCCAAGGACGCTGGCACTTGCCTCCACATCCAAACATGCCTTCACTTCATCTGCACTTAAGCCCTGCAGAGCGGTCTCACACTGTCTGATACTGGTCACAGAGTGTACGCTTCCACCAAGAGTTACCTGGCAAAACAAAAAAGTAACACAGACACTTCTGATTAATGATTCGGCTTGCATGTGTTGTGTTGTTGAAGCATTTTGGGCCTTTGTAATCCATACATGTGAAGAAAATTGTAAAGAGGATAAAACTAGAATTACCTTAGTGATGTAATGGGTTCCATAGGTGTTAATGAACTTGTAAAAACGCTTTTTGAAATTAAGATTGTATGTCTTAGGAAGCTCCTTCACAGAGCGCTTGAACTCAGGATGGAGAACAGGCTTGTTGGAGACCCTGTAGCTGTAGGTAGACATGGAAATGTTAGAAGAAATAGGAGAAGATTGCATAATATGACTCTTTCGGTTCCTTTATCATGAATAAAAAGTATTCAGTATTCAAGGAAGGCATGAAGCAATGGAAGCTGGTATGTCGCACCTGTAAAATGAACACGAAATACTTTGACTGGCAAAATTGTACTTGTCTCTTTTGGTCTTCTCCATTGAGTACTCTGCAAGCTTTGAGTTAGTTCCAGCCAAAACGAATGAGCCTTTATTTTGGTGAATATCTATATCCAAACTTGCACCCCAGTTGTTCTCAATGGAGGAAGTGCTGGAGCTGACCAGTTCCTCACTGGACTGGTACAGGGAACTTGATATTTGAATGCTGCACTTTTTGCTGGATCTCCAGTCTACCACAGATATAGGAAGCTTTTGATTTGTTCCTTCCATGTAGGGGTTCTTGCAAAGAGTGCATGATTTATCCTTTCGCCTCCAGACGTCCGTGTTAATGACAAAGGCTCCCTTGCGCTGCATCTTGGTCACATCGTATCCTTCTCCGGCCAGGTTGGACCCGGGGGCGAAGTTTGCTTCTGCACATTCATTCGGTTTACCTTTAGTGCATGACTGCACAATGGGCAGAAAGAGGTAAATAACAAGCCCGGCCCGCATTCCTGTAAAATGGATTGAGATAAGGTGTATGGATGCTCTTCTTTACTAGGAAAAAACATGAAAATTATGTGTGTATTTTTATTTTTTATTTATTTATTTTTTATTGAAACTTGACATAACAGTACAACATTGCACATTCAATGGTGAGTAAAAATGACAGAAAATTACTAAATTACAAAAATTCCCACTCAAAATTCTAAATTATTATAAAGACAATTACCCACATCTATCTACAATAAAATAAAACATCACTAATTTTGTAATATTAACAGGACTGTCATAACAGGATGGATGTTTTGTGCGACAAGTTTTTTAATAACAGTGTGTTGCACATGAACATGATGGAAAAAGTGTTATTATATTGTATAGTAGTTAAGATTATGGAATTTGTGAGAAAATTTAGTGGATCTTGCCTACAGCGATCATACAGAATAATACTTAAAAAGAACAAATTTCAGTTGCTTTTTAATTAAATTTGTATTACTATTATTTAAAAATTCCAAAATCCTCATAGTAATCATAATGTAAAAAAAAAAGACATAATAGTAGATTATCATTACCAAATAGAATTGTAACGTTTAACTGACACTTCTGAAGTTAAAAAAAGCCTTACATGTAGCCTTACATTTAAAATCCAGTCTCTAAAACGTCACTAATTTTGAAATATTAACAGGACTGTCATAACAAGATGTGCTGCAGGTTTTTTTAATAACAGTGTACTGCACATGAACATGATGGAAAAAGGTTTACTATATTGTATCGTAGTTAGGATTATGACAATTTAGTGGATCTTGCCTACAGGGATCATGAGGAATAAATATTAAAAAAGAACAAATTTCAGTTGCTTATTTCCTTTGCAATACATTACAGGCATAACAAGCTTAAGCAGCAAGAAAAAGCACTATGTTCTTTAAAAGGTGATGTAAAATTCTCTTCTTACCTTGAGCTACTCTGTTTTATCCAGCAGGCATTTGTGAGTGATGTGTGAGAGGGGCTATATGTAGGAAATAAACCTTAACTTGTGGGTGGGCTTTACCGTTATGTGCTACCAATAAAAAATACACTCATTGTGGGCTGAGTGAGGGTACGCTTTCAGTTCAGAGGAATTACGTGTTCTTAAATAACCACTGCAGCGCTGAATATGCTCTGTGGTGAAATGGAGTCTAGACGACATGTCAGTGGAACATGTGAGCATTCATTTACACGCTGACCTGTGCATTGTTAAAACATGCAGCATGTAGACCTTGACCGTAGGACTAAACTAGTCAAATCAAAACTTTACTAAATGTTAAATGTGCCTCAGTCTTGCTGTTAGTCACATTGTTCCTCTTGTGGCGTTAAACCTCCTACACACTTTTCACAGTTCGGCACCCTAACAACCAAAAATGACATAAATCACTTATTAGAATCACTTCAGTTGCTGTTTTCATAATCGTTTTATTAACCACAAAAATCTGCATGCAAGTAATTGCAAAGCATGCTGAGAGTATAGCGAAAAAAAACCCACAGAACACATCAAAGATCTGAATATCAAAAAGAAAACAAAAAGCTAATTTAGCACCAATAATAAAATGCTAATGCTGAGATGCTAAACACAAATTTGTATTTTTTGTTTTAATATTTTAATTTTATATCTTTTTATTTGATGATAAGCATTATTTTAAGCTTTCACAAAGTCTGTACTTTGCTTTTAGGATCACTGGTTTGACTAAACAGAAAGCGGCGCTCATCTAAAAGCACCCCCATTTTCACCAGCACATCTTTTGGGATGGGCCGGGCGTGTCGTGACACGTATATATTCTCTAGATGGGAGGACATTGGAGAGCCCACGTATTCTGTGCACGAGGAGCCAGCTAAACTAGGACCACAAGTTACAGCCGTCTTGTAGTACAGCAAACCATGGTTAATCGACAGAAGTCGCTTTTTACTCTGGCTTTTAGTTGTATGTTGCACGCCCCCAGGAGGTTATCGTCCCACTTGTTGTCCCTATCCCACACTTCTAATCTAAGACCCCCAAACTGAGAGAGAACAAAGCTGCCGAGTTCAAACTTCCAGTTCCAGGTTGGTGAGTTTTGGTTCCAAATCACTGACGTTTCCCCTAGAAAGACCTTATGATTTCTCAGGACCTTGACATACATATCGGTCTGTGAGAAGTAATCTCCCCACAGACCTGTCGCCTTCATCACAGTTACACTAATCTGAGCAAGTCCGAGCTGTGCAGGGCAGCAGTTTGCTTTTACTCCAGGGTTGTTATGACAGCTGAACACACAGGGCTCTTTGGGGTTAGTTGCAATACTGGCCTTGCAAGGTGTAGAGCAGTTCCTCCAAAGGGCCCTCTGTAGTATGTAGTCACGTATGGCTCAGCGTAATTGCTCATATTTTGGGTTCTTGACTGGCAGCAACATATGGAGCGGCTTCAGTAAAAAGGAAACGTCCAGTTTTTCGGGCACTGAGGAGAGCCATTGATTGTAAGCACCAGGGTCATTGCTGGATGAGAAAAGAAGCGCCGTGTCTTGAGCGTGGCCACCAGTGATTTCAGTTACCTTGTCAAAAAGAAAAAAAAGAACATAAAGTTACATAAAGTAAAGCATGAACCCTTCCCACAATAATGATGATGATAATATCAGTGCAAAAACCAAGCCCTGAGGTCAAAAGAACTGCCTGTAGCGCTCAGAAACAGGTTTGCGTCAAGCCACACATCTGTCCAAACTCAATCCTCTCCTCGGTGTAGACACATGAAAACACACTTGGAATTTACAAAAAAGTACCTAAAGGACCCTCAGATTCTGAGAAACAAGATTCTAAGCATCATGTTTGAAGAAAACCAGCTCCGCTCATCCCCTGCAGAGTACCATCCCAAAAGTAAAGTGTGCTGGTAGCAGCCTCATGCTGTGGGGCTGTTTTTCGGCAGCAGGGACTGAGGGACTCGTTAGAGTAGAAGAAACGCTCAGTGCAGCAAAATAT